AATGGAAATCCTCAAGGGAGCCGACTGCTTGTCGGACCGCCTGTAAATACTTGATCATGGCCGGATGGGTTGCTTCGTATTCGCCATTGTACTGACTGACTATCAATTGTGAATCGGAACAGGCGTCTATTTTTCTTGCTCCTGCCGCCTTGCACATGCGGATTCCGGCTAGTAAAGCTTCATATTCTGCCTCATTGTTTGAGGCCTGAAAACTGAAGCGTAGAGCATACTCGTACCTGTCTCCCTCTGGCGATTGACATATGACGCCTGCTCAACAACCATTTGAAGTAGAGCTTCCATCCACATATACCTTCCAGACTTGGTCTGTAACTTGAGAGTCAGGAGGACGAGTCATCTCAGCAATAATGTCAGCAAAAGCTTGCCCCTTCACTTCTTTTCTAGGCTCGAAAGTAACTTCGAGGCTCTATATTTCTATGGCCCATTTGATCATTCGGCCTGACGACTCCATGATGGTCAGTGGCCGCTTGATAGGTTGGTCTGTATACACGACGACTGCATGTGCCAAAAAGTAGGGCTTCAATTTTTTAACAGCCCTGAAGAGTGCAAGACCAAATTTCTCCACTAAGGGATACCTCAACTCACCATTTTTCAGTACATGACTGACAAAGTAGACCGAGAGCTGACAGCCGTCTCTTTCAGCAAGGAGAACAGCGCTTAACGCATGATCAGAGACGGCCAGGTACATGTAGAGTACTTCTTTGGGAAAAAGGCTGACCAGCCTCGGCAAGGAATGCAAGTGAACTTTCAATTTCAGGAAGGCCGCCTCAGCATCCGGCCCCCATTCAAACCTTGCCTTTTTCTTAATTGCCTGGAAAAAGTATAGGCATTTGTCGCCTGATCGGCTTAGAAATCTTCCCAAGGCCGCCAGACAACCTGTTAACTTCTGAACCTCTCGGATGGTACGAGGGGACTGCATGTCGATGACCGCCTGCACCTTCTTAGGGTTCGCCTATATTTCTCTCTGATTGATAAGGAATCCGAGAAATTTCCCAGACTCAACTCCAAAGACACATTTCTTGGGATTGAGCATGACATGGTGCCGCCTGAGTGTGGCGAAAGTTTCTCGGAGGTCCGACAGATGATCTTTCTGAAGTTTAGACTTGACAATCATATCATCAATATATGCCTCGACATTTCTCCCAATCTGATCAAAGAACACAGTGTTTATCATTCGCTGGAAAGTGGCCGGGGCATTCTTAAGACCAAACGGCATGACCGTGTAACAGTATAACCCCTGATCAGTGACGAAGGCCGTCTTCTCCTGATCTTTCTCCCATAAAGGAATTTGATGGAAACCAGAGTAGGCGTCCATAAAGCTCATCAAAGCATGGCCGGCTGTTGAGTCGACCAGGTTATCAATTTTAGGCAGAGGGTAACTGTCTTTGGGGCACGCCTTGTTTAAGTCTGTGTAGTCTACACACATTCGCAAGGTGCCATTCGGCTTTTTAACAAGCACCACATTTGCAACCCAGTTTGGGAAGTAACATTGCCGAATGAATCCTGCATCAAGTAATTTTTTAACTTCGGCGGCTGCCGCCTGACTTCTTTCTTTGCCATGGTTCCGCTTCTTCTGCCGTACCGGCTTCTTTTTCGGATCCACAGCCAGTTTATGTACCGCCAGATCAGGACTAATGCCTGGAATTTCATGGACTTCGAATGCAAAGATGTCCTTGTATTGTTTCAATAGTTTGTGAATGTCGTCACCCAAGTCCCTTAGAGCAGTCGTCCTAACCTTGATTGTTCTGCCAGGACGCGAGTCATCTAAGATCAGGTCCCTATGCTCACCAGCTGGCTGAGGGCGGAATTCATCCGACCGCTCCTCTGCCAATGATTGCTATTTTCTGTCTTTTCTTGCGGCCCCTGTCTGGGATGCCTTTCTCTTCTTGCCGCCTGCTTCTTGAACAGGCGCACTCTCCTTGACATTGTCAAGGTCTATTTTTCCACCGCTCAACATAGTGGCCATAACAGTGGGCTTGACATTCGAGAGATAGCACTCTCGGGCCATCCTCTTATCTCCCCTTAGGGACCCGACTGTTCCATTATCCCTCTCAAACTTGAGCAACATAAGAGATGGGATTATAACAGCCTTGGAATTATTTAGGGTTGGTCGTCCCAGAATCATGTTGTAGGCCGAGAGTTCTTCTACTACCAGGAACCGGACTACCATGTGTCGTCCTTCCCCTTTTTCGCCCAGGCGGATGGGTAAATCCACTCGTCCCACTAGGTGGACGACTCCTCCTCCAAACCCTACTAAAGGGTGGGATGCCGGATGTATGCAATCAGTCTGATATTTTAGTTTCGACAGACATTTTCTACTGATGAGATCTGAGGAGCTTCCGGTATCTATGAGGATTCGGCCAACTCTCTGGTTGGCCACTTTACATTCAATAACGATAGGGTCGTCATGCGGCCCTCTTACCCCTCCTAGATCTTCTTCAGTGATGACAATCTCAGGAAATGAATATTTGGAGGGTCGTTCTTGGTGAACGGAATTTACATCTAACCGTCTGATATTGTCTTTGTTGCCCCTAATAGTGGGCCGCCTCCTGAGAAGCCGCCTGCAATGGTGTATACGACTACATCATCTGTATCGGAGCTGTCGGCCTGTTGATTCTTTTTGGTCGACTGCTTTTTCGAGGAAGTGTTCCCTGTAGATTTCTTGACATAAGTGTCAAGATCACCTTGCTCAGCCAGGCGGTCCAGATACCGCATGAGACTGACGCATTCATTGATGTGATGACCAACATCTTCATGATAATCACAGAATTTTTCTTGGTTCTGATTGTTTGCAGAACCCTTCATGGGGACCGGCTTCTCAATTGAGATCCGTCCCTTTATTTCCTTTAAAATAAATTGGCTATCCTTGTTAAACACATACTTTGGGGAGTATGGTTTGAATTCTTTTTTCTTCCTCTGGGACGGCTGTTTAGAGGAATCAGTTGCCCAGACCTCTTTTCTCTTCTCGTCTTTGTTTGACGACTGCTTCTATCGTCCTTCTCTTTTGTCGGACCTTTTCCCGTCTGACTGTTTTACCATACTACAAAGATCAGTCGCCTGTATATAGGCTTCCGCTTCAATCAAGGCCTCTTGAAGAGTCACCACCCTCTTTCGGACCAAATCAAATTTGAAGGTCGACCCGTCTTTGAGACCTCTGAAAAAGTCAGTATAGGCTACTTCATTCGGTAACCCTTGAATCTGTATTCTCATCAGGTTAAACCGCCTGATGTAAGAACGAAGCCCCTCCTTCTCTCCTTGCTGAATTGTTCCTAAATCAAGGGTCGTCTTCTTCGCAGGGATGTTCATGGCGAAGTTGGAGGTGAATAAGTAAGCAAGCGTCTTGAAGTTATTTACACAACCAGTCGGCAGGTTGCCGAACCACTGTTGTGCGATTCCTTTGAGAGTCGCTGGGAAACACTTGCACCAAGTGGGATCATCCAACCCTTGAAGGTACATCAGGTTGGTGAATGCCATCAGATGGTCTTCTGGGTTAGTAGTGCCGTCATAGGCGCCTACTAATACATTTTTCACTTTGGCCGGCTGAGCGGCTTCAGTAATTTCCTTGGAGAAGGCCGACGGCTGTTCACCAAGTCTAAGGAACCGTAGCTGCCAGTCCATAGGTTGGACATTTTTTGCTGCATGTCCACCAAACGGAGGTGGCTGTAAAAAATACTATTGTTGCGGTACAAACGGTAAATTTGGTACCGCCTGGTCGCTATGAAAGCCGGACTGACGGGAGGTGCCACCTGACTGACTCTCATGATACGACTGAGTATGCCTCATCGAGGTATTTCGCAGACTGTCTTGGAAGTTTGAAGTAGAGGCCGACTCTGACAATCGGTCACTCTTCTTCTGTTCTAGCAGTAGCCGAGCGTCTGTGTATGTTTTCCTCGACCCGTCCGCCTGAATATGACGAACAGGTTTCCTATTTCCTGGAGTAGGAAAACGGTATTTTGTGAAATCAAGGGCAGGTGGCTCCCACTTCCTAGATTTAGGATGAGGGGTCGCCTCTTCCCCTTCAACTGGCTTCCTCTTCCGTGAAGTGGAGGGTTTCTTAGCCGACTGCTCCTTGTCCAGAGCAGGCGACTTCTTGTTGATCAACTCTTGAATTTCTCCCTTGAAGTCCCTCATGAAGGTCATGAGTTCGTTCCTTGTGATGGGAGCAGACCCATCAGTCGGCTGCTGCCGAACAGGCGGTGCGCCTGCTGGCTCGCTTCCAGTTTGAAGATGTTCTCGTTCCCTCCTTTCGGTATGAAGGGTACGTCGGGCCCTTAGGGTCCTGTCTGAAGGTGTGTGAGCTTCAACTTCAAATTCATTCTCAGTATCGTGGTCCGACTGAACTAGAGGGTCGTCTAGGGGACGTCTCTCTTCAGGAACCGGTACAAACGTGGATGCCATCTCAGAAGTACTCTCCCCACAGACTGGAACCGGACGCCTGTACCTGCAAAACAAACAGATGCTCCGGATGATTGGAGATCCGCCTCCGACGGTCAAGTTAGTACTTGATTAAGGAGTAATTAATGCGGAAATTAAAGTGATTGGGTCTCTCTAGGTGAGAGAGTTTAATGTGTGTAATCTGCGTAATCTCTCTTAATGAGGATTAAGGGAGGTATTTATAACCTCGGGAAACGTGCCAATCTAGGTTTAGGTTAACCTTGGTTTGATTGGGCTTCCCTCGGAAATTGGGTCTGGGTGGCCGACTTCTCCATTAGGCATGGAGTATGCCACGTGTCATGACATAATAGGTCCAAGGCGGACTAATAAGCGTGTGCCACGTGGCAAACCCTAAGAGGTCCAACTGGGGAACACTTGGCATGACCTGATTGGCCCACGTGGCGCATTCCGATTGGTGGGAGAAAAATCCCCTAATCAGATACCTTAGTGAGACGGGCTACGTAACTCAAGCGGTATCCGGATGAATGGAAGTAGAAGGTTGTTTGCACGAGCAAGCAGGCGGGGTCAGGAGAGCTCTCCTTTTTCTCTCAAGAACTTTCTCTTAAAAATGGCAAAGTGAGGAATGAAAGTGATGGCATGAGGCTTACACTTGCACCTAGATCACACAATGCCCTGTTAATTTCGATATCTCCAAGCTTCACTGGAATCGAATAGCTATCTGGGTCTCCTAATTTCTTAGGGAGAGTATTCTGCAAAATAGCACTGCACTCTGCATTCAAAGCAATTGTAGTATTCTCTTCTAATTTCTTCTTGTTAGATAGCATATCTTTTAAGAATTTTGCATAAGAAGGCATCTCAGATATGGCATCTTAAAATGGAATATTAATATATATCTTTTTAAGAATATCAAGAAACTTACTGGACTTTTTCTCAAGTTTAGCTTGGGCTAACCTTTGAGGAAAAGGAACCTTAGGCACATACGGAGCAAGTGGATTTGGTGGTGCTTCCTTTGATTCATCCTCGACCCTAGAGTTGTCAACTTCCTTCTGACTTGCACCTGCTTCTTCAACGACCTCCTTTGATGGCTCCTTGGTAGGAGGATCTTCCAATTGATTTCCACTCCTCAGGGTAACAACATTCATTTGGCCTTTTTGAGGTTGTTCTGTCTGGCCCGGAAAAGTTCCTGGAATCTTTAAAGATTGGCTAACTTGATTGGCAAGTTGGCTTATCTGGTTTTCCATCAGTTTACTCTAGGCCTGCAATTGTTAGATAGAGCTATTTTGGTGTTGGATGGCACTATTTGTTGCGGTTATAAAGCTCTCTAACGTCACCTCAAGGCTAGATTTTTGAGGTTATGGTTGCATTGGTTGTTGGGTGTTAGGTGGTCTTTGTTGGAAGCAAGGTGGTGGTTGGTTGTAGTTGTTGGGTTTAGGTGGTGGTGGATTTTGCTGTGCTTGGGTGTTCTTGTATGAAAAGTTAGGATGGTGTTTCCATCCTTCATTATAGGTGTTGGAATAGGGGTCATAAGGCCTTGTGGGGTTAGAGGAGTAGAAAGCATTGGCCTGCTCAATTGACATCTCCTCTGTATTCTGCGAAATATGCGGGCAATCTGGTGCAATATGACCATGCACATTACACAATTGACACAACTCATGTGGGCTAGTAGAGGTTCCAGCTTGGAACTTATCAAACCTGCTTGTTAGTGCCTGCACAGAACTGGTTAGCATAGCTAAGGCATCAACATCAAGTTTACCTCCCTTTTTCACAGTATTTCGGCCTCCTGAATGATAGTTATCATTGGCTGCCATCTTCTCTATAAGTTCCTTTGCTTCAGTGGGGTTCTTTGTCAAGAGAGAGCCTCCTGACGCAGCATCGATGTAGATCCGGAACTCATGAGTCATGCCATTATAGAATGTCTGCATTAAAATCCACTCTGGAATGCCATGATGAGGGCATTGTCTCTGCAACCTCTTAAACCTTCTCCAAGCCTCATAGAGAGACTCATCATCTAACTGTCGAAAGGTTGAAAGCTCGTTCCTCAACCTAGCAGTCTTCTCCTGCCCTAAAAATTTCACTAAGAAGGCCTTCACTAGCTTGTCCCATGTATCGAATGAGCCAGTGCCTTCATCTCTCAACCACTCTTTTGCCTTATCTCGTAATGAGAATGGGAAAAGGCGTAGTCTGATTGCATCATCTTTAACACCATTCATCTTCATAGTATCACATTTCTCCAAAAAAACTATCAATATGACTTACTGGGCAATCATGTAGTAGCCCTGCGAATGAATCATTGGAGATGAATTGGATGAATTGCGGCTTGAGCTCGAAGTGCTGAGCCGTTAGAAGTGGTCTTATGATGCTAGAAAGGGATTTCGCTGGTTGGTCTACCATGTTTCTCCTACGTCGATTTCTAGTTCTCCTTATTCTTATAGTTGCCTCAATCTTAGAATCAAATGGTTCAAGATCTTCTGAACATGAGCGTCGTGTGGGCATGCACAAGAAAAACTAGAGAAAAAGTATCAAAAACACAAGAGAGAATAGCCGAAGCAACAAAATAAGCTTAGCAAAAACGAATCACAAATAATCTAATGATACCGTTAGTCCCCGGCAACGGCGCCAAAATTTGATAGGCGTGTCGCGTACCTAACAAAATATAACCTAACTAACCACTTCTATGAAGCAAGGCAAGCAAGGGTCAAATCCCAAGAGACTAAGGTTCAAAAATAATTAAATAGACTCAAATTCCTACTAAGCAAGAATCAATAATGATCGAATAACTAAAGAACTAATGTATGGAAAATCGAAAATAAACTAAAGAATATGAAGAAATCAGGCAATTAAAACATCCAAGATCTAGTATCACCACCAATTACTCTTGATGCAATTATATTTCTACCCCTAACATACGATTCCAATTGAACGGGGAAAAGTAAACCCTAATCAATACCAAGGACCTCTCTCGAGTATCAATGGCTTCCCTAACATACAATCAAACCTATTCTCATGGAATCATGCACATTAGAGACATTAAACACATTACTCTAACTTCCCAATTATCAACCCTGCTATTCTCATGTTGAATATCAAACCCTAAATTGATCTACTCAAATCCGTTTAAACCCAACTCTCGCTGTGATAGAAACAATGGAATAATCACAATACTAAAATTACGTCTAACCTTGTATTGTCATAATCACAATCAATGTAGCATAGCAGTTGCAAAAGTCATTAGAGAATTTAAAGATTTAATTCATGCATCAATCATAATTGGGCTACCCTAGATCTTGGAATAGAAAATCTACTCACACATATTGAAAGAAACAATAACAATCATAAATATGGAAAACATAATTGAAAAGCAAATATAATTGAAAGAGAATGAAGTAGAAATGAATACCAAGAATTCTTCAATTAAAAGGAATTAAATTGTAGAAGAACAATGCTCAAATCTTGTGCAAGGAATTAAAATTGCTTCCAAATAATAAACTAGAATTCTAGAGAGAGAAAGAGGAATAATGGAAAACTGAAAATTGTTTCTAATGATAATTACAAGGGGTATTTATACCCCTTAAGACCTACAAAAGATAAAAAAATTAAATCGGAGCTGCGCCATAACTTTGCCCGGTCTGCCGGGCTGTGCCTGCCCAATCGAGCACTAAGGATCAAAGTTGCGCAAATTGCTTCCGCTGGAGTTCTTCTTCGCCCAGTCCAACCGGGCAGGTTGAGCCCGATCGGGCGCGAGTCCAAAATCATCCTGCTGCCTTCTCTTGAGCTTCGTAGCAATGCCAAGCTTCTTCTACCACGCGCCCGGTCTGACCAGGCATGGGCTGCCTGATCGGGCGCTTAGCACAGATGCCATAAATCAACTTCTTTCTTCTTGGTCTTGGTTCGTTTTGTAGCTTGCTTATACGTTCTCGTCCACTAACATCTCCAAATCTCTCTAAACATGTCCGAATTGTCCGAAAAACTCCAAATTCCTGTAAAACTCATAAAAGTACACCAAACACACTAGAGAAGAGAATGTTAGCGGGAAATGGCTCAAAAGAGCCTAAAACCATGCAAAAACGTAGTGAAAAGTCGGGAAAATATATGTATAAAACGTGTATATCAAAGTCTCCTTTCCGTATAAATACCCAAGCTTTGGGATTTGGGAAGAACACTTGAGTGGAACTAAAAAGGTATCTCCTTAGAAAAGTGAGAAAACCTTAAGTTCGTAAAACTCTAGTTTTTATTGGTCAAGTCTCGACTAACCTTCGGGACTAAGACCATTCGGGTCCGGTTCGTGAGTACGAGCCGTTGGAGACCTTCGCATTTGCGGGGTTCAAGTTTTGATGTAAGAGCTCGGGATCAAGCGAAGCACGTGCCAAGGGTATGAATGTCTTTTCCTTCTCTTTCTTAATTTTTGTTTAATTTGTGATTGCATGCTTAGTTGCCTTAATTAGTGGGCGGGTCTTGGGCGAGTTTCACTTCCGTGTAGAGTCGGACTCTACGAAACCCAACAGCGGTATCGGAGCCGCGCTCACTTTTATTTTTGTAACTAACAATTAATTAAGGTGATTTTAAATGGATTTAAATTCCTTGTTGTGCTTTCTAATTGGATTAGAAGCTCGTTTTAATTAGTTTTAATCTCGTAGTTTTTTCTAATTTTGGCTGTCGAACCCAGATTTCGACTCAAAAATAGTTATTTTTGGGTGGAATCGATTTTCTAAATCGTTTTTGATCCTTTAGAATTGTCCAGAAGCCAAAATCCATCCATAAACATGTTTTTTGAGGGGTTTTTCGTTTTTGACGAATTTTTTTTAAATCTTTTAACCTTGATTAATTATTGCATGTTGAAGGTAGATTAAATGTATGGTTGAATCCCTAATCTAATGCAATTATAAACCTCATTAAGCATGTTTATGAAGTCATAATTGGTACTTAATTTGGTGTGTTCATTTTTAACATAAACTTGAATTTTTCACATTGTTGCAAATAAATTGCTTCAAGTGTGAATGTTTAAGGTGAACTTGTAATTTTTGATGTCCCTAATTTTTCAAAAATCCAATCTTTAATTGTTTATTTGGTTGGAACTTTGATTGCTAAATTCCATGTTGAACTAATTTTTGGATTTAATCATTTTGTGTTGATTAAAGTCCTAAAAATTCAAAACTTGTTATTGAATTAAATTAATCCTTCATGTTGGAAGATGAAATTTTTCAATTTTACACAAGTTATTGTTGGAAATTTTTCATTGGATGAAAGGGTTTAATTTTCCAACTCCTTTAATTTTGTCAAATCTCATTATTAATTTACATTTGATTAAATTAATTATGAGTAGTATCCCTTCAATTTTGTAGCATAAAGATAAACCTAAATTAATTCAAAGAATGGTTCTTGAATAATTTAGGCTTGTGCACTATTAAAATCGAATATATTTAAGTTAGACTTGTTAAAATTTTCATTATTGCCCGATTTTGTTTCTAAAATTAATTTAGAGTCACAATTATGTCACACATCTATCGGGATTAAAATCCCGAGTTAAAAGCACGCAAATTGAGGCAAAACACCCAAGCACCCTCAAGGCTAGCATGCCTAACATGCATAGCGAGATGGTGATGCCTTAAGTGCGCATAAGGGTGCTCCCACCTCGAGATGCAGCTGCTAGAGTGTGGCGGAGAGAGTGCACATGTGTTGCGTGATGGTGCATGGTCTATGGCTGCTGGCAGGGCCTTGCGAGAGCTGCTGGGCAGCGAGGTAACAAGCCCCAGCAAGCTAGCTACTCGCTGCCAGCGCCAACAAGCTACCTAGCATGCCTAGCATGCGTAGCGAGATACTGGTGCCAACATACGTGGTATGCATTGCTGGGAAAGCATGCTAGAGTCCAAAGCACGCAACCCACGGTTTTGGCTGGGTAATTTTTGCTTGAGTTGGGCTATCGATTTTTTGCATAACTTTGTCGTTTTAATTTGTTGGGTTTCGTAGAGTCCAACTCTCCGCGGAAGAGAAACCCGTCCAAGATCCGCCCACTAATGAAGGCAACTAATCATGCAATCACAAATTAAACAACAATTAAGAGATAGAAGGAAAAGACATTCATACCCTTGGCGCGTGCTACGCTCAAACCCGAGCTCTTACTTAAAAACTTGATCCCCGCAAATGCAAAGGTCTCCAACGGCTCGTACCCACGAACCCGACCCGAACGATCCTAGTCCCGAAGGTTAGTCGGGACTTGACCAATAAAAACTGGAGTTTTACGAAC